AACTTTCCATTAATGTGTAGGCTATTTAGGTAGGTTTGTCTTTACTAATCCCACTATTGAAGACTTTCCGTTAATGCGTAGGCTATTTAGGTAGGTTTGTCTTTACTAATCCCACTATTGAAGATGTTCATTTCATAGGCTATTGCGTAGGCATTGCGTTCATTGTGTAGGCTATTTAGGTAGGTTTGTCTTTACTAATCCCACTATTGAAGACTTTCCGTTAATGCGTAGGCTATTTAGGTAGGTTTGTCTTTACTAATCCCACTATTGAAGATGTTCATTTCATCTAGGGGGGAGGGGGGAATTCTTACGTTGGCTTATTGACACTAATCTCACTACTGAAGGCGTTCCGTTCATCTGGAGGGGTGGGGGTTCTGACGTAACTTTATCTTCGGAATTAAATCTCAGACTTGAAAGAATTCATATGGGGCATATTTCATAATGAATGGATATATGGATTCATATATTGTTTATATCAAATAATCTCAAGATGCTCTGAGTTTCTTACATACCACTCTTATAAATATGAACATATATATTTTTTCGTTACTTATCTGCGTCTGTGTTTTATTATCTCTAGACTAAGAACGGAACGTCCGTGAAAAATAATATATATATATATATATAAATACTTAAAGCGAGATTTCCTACGTCCCCTATTATACAGAATAGGTTGTCTACAGGAGAATACATTATAAGTGTTTATGAGATTAGGAAGATTCGAGAAAGATATCGTACAGTAAGAATCTACGAATACTTTAACACAGGTTTCACAAAGAACATCTTCTGTATCTCGCGAAGCAGTTCAACAATATTTTAGCGCCGGTTTAGGAGAGAGAACCTTCTCGAAGAACATTTTTTGTTGGTATGAGACAGGCAAACAACATGTAACTACGGATCTCGCAGGAAAGTCTTCTTGTTAGTAAATAACCAGTATACTACGTGATTAAAAGAAACAATTATCAACAGACAGTCCAATATGTATGTCTAGCAGAGAAAGTTTTCCTAAACATCGTAGATTTTGTTACGATACGCTCTTATAGGTAGGTGATTGTGCTTTATAAAAGAGATAAAGCAACACCAGAAAACCGAGATGAATGTGGCACATGTTAGTTAGGTGATTGTGCTTTATAAAAGAGATAAAGCAACACCAGAAAACCGAGATGAATGTGACACATGTCAGTTAGGTGATTGTGCTTTATAAAAAAAGAGATAAAGCAACACCAGAAAACCGAGATGAATGTGGCACATGTTAGGTAGGTGATTGTGCTTTATAAAAGAGATAAAGCAACACCAGAAAACCGAGATGAATGTGGCACATGTTACTGCAATTTACATGATTTCATATATAATACGTCATTTTCATATTTTCTTATGGACAATATTTTGCGCGAAATCTTTCAAGTACGACGCGTTATTTCATTATTTTGAAAAAGTAACTTTCACTAAATTTCAGAGTGACGACAGGTCTTGGTTTCTGAGCTTCTTCTTTTGCTTCCTAAACGAAAACAAAATATATTGGTAAGTGGAAAAGTGTCGTAGATAATGCAAAAATGTATTTAAGACACCAGGAACTCATCTGGACAATTATAAAATCTAACAGATATAGGTTATTTTTTTAATAAGACAGCATGGGTTATTTCATTTGAAAAAAAGATTATTCTATCTAAACATATCGGTTGTTTTAGCTGAGGCAGCACTGTATATCTGACCTGAAATGCCATGGATTATTTTATATAAAGCAACGTTGTGTATCTGATCTGAAGTGACATGGATTATTTTATATAAAGCAACATTGGTTATATGATCTGAAGTGACATGGATTATTTTATATAAAGCAAC